TCATCATCATCATCATCATCATCATCATCATCATCATATTCAGCATACACATCAGCATCACCATCACCACAATCACCAACATCAGCATCAGCATCATCACCAGCATCATCAACCTCATAAGCATCATCACCACAACCATCAACATGAGCATGAGCATAAGCACTATCAACATCGCCACAAGCATCATCATCAGCAGCAACAACAGCGTCATCAGCATCTGCATCAACATCAGCATCACCATCATCATCAGCAGTATCATCAGCATCATCGCCATCGTCATCAGCAGCATACTCATCAGCAGCATCCTCCTCATCATCGTCAACATCAGCAACGGCAGCAGCATCATCATCACCGCCACCACCATCATCCTCATCATCGTCCCCATCGTCCTCAGCAGCATCACCAGCATCATAATCAGAGTCATCATAATCATCATCCTCATCCTCGTCATCATCATCAGCACCATCACCATCAGTATCATCATCACCATCACCATCATGATCACCAGCATCATCATCATCATCACCACCATCATCATCATCACCACCATCATCACCACCAACATCCTCGTTCTAGCTTCGCTGTCTGGCTTAACTCTCCTTATGCCTTATGCTTGCGCACTCTCCACGCAGTGATCCCCTTCGAATGGGCGACAGAAGCAGGTGTGTGTGTGTGTGTGCCGAGCGAGGGCTATACTTTGGTCGAAGCCCCCTTGCCCGTCTCCAGTGGCCATTAGCGCTTCGCTCGACGGACTCCTTCAGGCTACGTAGCCTTCTCCTCCTCGTTCTCTTCATCCTCCTCGTTCTTTTCATCCTCCTCCTCTTCATCCTCCTCCTCTTCCAGCGCCGTCTTCACACCCGCCACCTCCCCCGTCCACCCCTCCTCCGCCTCCCGATCGTCCTCCTCAAGACTGGTACAGCGCGAGCGGAGCACAGTTACCACCTTCGCCACTGCGCGAGCGTCTGTCAGGATCTACATCCCTCAATGCTTGTCCCATCTCCCTTCCTGCTCATCCTCGTCCTTCCTTCCTCCCCGTTCCTCTTCCCCCACCTCATCATCGTCTGCATCATCCCTCCCTTCCCCCTGTTTCTCTCATTACTCGTCCTCCTCCTCGTCCATCTCACTCCATCACCATCCTCGCTTGTGTCGTGCGGCTCCTCCTTCTCCTCCTCCGCCTCCTCCTCATCATCATCATAATCCTCATCACCACCACCGTCATCATCACCATCATCATCATCATGATGGTCAGAATCACCATTGTCATCCCCATCCTCATCCTCATCCTCATCATCGTCATCATCATCACCATCATCATCATCATCATCATCATCATCATCAAAAATCCATCCCGTTGTCAATTCCTCCGTCTTCTCCTCATCCTCTTCCTCCGCCTCCTCCTCCTCTTTTCCTCATTCCCTCCTCCCTGCTCCTCCATCTCCATAGCCTTTTGGCTCAAGGTTCAAAGGGCGACCAACCCGCCGCACTCTTGCACACACCGCTCCACCGCATGGGCTGGCCCCATGGCGCTGGATCCCAGAGAGCGCACCGCGGAACTGCGACGTCGCACAGAGAAATGCAGCATCGTGAAACATCACAAACGGAAACCACGACCCCGTCACTAGTGACGGCCCCGAGGCTCTGAATCGGGCGAAATGGGCATCCTTTAACCGACCCCCATCCCAATGCACGTGGTCTGGGACCCAGTGGCCGATGGACCCCCTAGATGGGGATCCGGGCCGTTCCCTTCGGACTCCGAGGTGTGTCCCCAACTGGGGTGCAAGGATGCTGGGGTGCGGGACGGGACAATGACCACAGCTTGTTTGCGCCGCCTTCCAGCCGGCCGAAAAAGAAGCAGTGGTTGTGGTCATTTCCCCGGTGCCAGGCTCCACGACAATGACCACAACCACTGCTTTTTGTTTCCGCTGGCTGGACGGCGGCAGCAACAGAAAAGCAGTGGCCATGGCCGTTTTCCCGTCCCGCATGAGGGTCTGGATGGGGATGGAGCTGGGGATGGGGACCGATCAAGAGCCTCCTTGAGGAGGAGAGCCTCCTTGAGGAGGAGGAGGAGGAGGAGGAGGAGGAGGAGGAGGAGGAGGAGGGAGGAGGAGGAGGAGGAGGAGGAGGAGGAGAGGAGGGAGGGAGGAGGAGGAGGAGGAGAGCGCCCCGAGGACAAAAGAGCTGCGGCGCCCGGATCTCGGAGACGCGAGCCCGATGCCCTCCGAGAGAGCCCCCCCCCACGCGCGCCGGCCTCCCCCCCAACTCCGCCGAGGATGAGCAGCACGGGTGCGAAGGTGCGCACGGAAGAGGAGGAGGAGGAGGAGGAGGCGGAGGGAGGAGGGAGGAGGAGGAGGAGGAGGAGGAGGAGGAGGAGGAGCAAAAAGAGGAGGGAGGAGGGAGGAGGGAGGAGGGAGGAGGGAGAAGGGACGAGGGAGGAGCAATCAAATGTTTTGCGCAGGTGGTGACTGGCATACAGCCAAAAACCCTAATAGGGACGCGCGGTGAGGACGCAAGACCCTTGGGAGCCGAAGTTGGGATTTTTGGGGCGGCGGACGACGAAAACCTCAAGGACGCAAGAGCAAGGAAGAGCAAGGACGCAAGGGTACCCTGAGCAAAGTCGCGCGTCCTTATTAGGGTTTTGACTGTATGTGCATCCCTGGGAGATTGCACGCTGCGGGGTTCAGCCCTGCCTGCACGCGCGGCATTGTGTAGCGCACGGAGTCCAAAGATGAACAGAGCTCCACGAACGCACATGGATCAGCGCCGCGAAGATGAAAACCAAATGGTTGTCGTAACGGCCCATATCTTGGAAGATGAGAAGAGCACACAATAAGCCACGGCTGTGCAGACGAGAAGCCTTTGAATCCCACCAGCCCTTTGGGCTACGGTGGTCTAACGACTTCTGTATCTCCTCTTCCACGAACCCTTGTTGGCTTCAAGAGGGCCTCCGATGCTCCACGATAGCATCCAAGGCGGCTCTAGATAGCCGAAGATGACTTAGGATAGCTTCCGACATGGCTCCAAGAGGCCCGACGGGGCCACAAGACGGTTTCAAGAGCTCTCGGAGCCCGCACAGGACCTCCCGAAGGGGCCCAAATCCGTCAAGCACCTAAGGAAACTCATTGAGTGTTGCCTTCTCGCCTTTGCGCCTCCGATGCGCTTTTGAGGCCTCGGGATTATCCCAATGATGGCCCAAGAGAGCCCCAAGAGGGACCTAAGAGGCCCCCCCCCCCCCAAACGGCCCCGAGAACGCCCAATATCGGCCCGTGAGCGTCACAAGAGTGTCCCAAGAGGCGATGTTAACGGCCCCAGTGGGGGGAGGAAAACTTAGGATCCCCCTTTGATCGATAGCCTTCAGGATGGCCTCAAGAGGCCCCCCAGGGCTCCCAGGGGACCCCAAGAGGGCCCCAAGACCTCTAACAGAGCTCCAGGAGGACCCCAAGATCCCCCAAAAGAGCCCCAAGAGGGCTCCACGAGGCTATTTTGAGGGCTCTCTCCTCGACCTCGGTGTCCTCATCCTGCTCCTCCGCGTCCCTGTCCTTGCCCTTGCCCTCATGGTCGACCTGTTCCTGTTCCTCCTCTTCCTCATCCTCGTGGTCGTCGTCGTCGTCGTCGTCGTCATCTTCTTCCTCCTCCCCCTCCTCCTCCTCCTCCTCCTCCTCCGCCTCCTCCTCCTCCTCCTCCTCCTTCTCCCCTCGCCCCCACGCGGGTTCCAGGAATGGCCCGAAGAAGCCCTCCAAGCCCTCCATCGTGCCCCCAGAGAAGTATAGTTTCACCGTGGTTGCCCGTTCTGTTTCCCTACATGTTTCTCTTCGTCGTCCCTTTCCCCGTCAGCTTTCGTTGGCAGGGATTCTGCATGGGCTGGTGGGGATACTTTTTTGGTCGGCGGCTCCAAGGCAACGGTCAAGGAACGAAAGCGGCGTCCGGGAGGCGGAACGGGGCGAATTTGCGAACAAAGCCGCCAGTGTCGGCGGACAAGCTCGCACCCGCAAGACAAACTCGCAGTTGCACATGCACAGAACAAAATGAACTAAGTTCACAAACAAACGCACATTGGCGCAGCAGCGTCTGGTGGGGATACGCGGCGGATGCAGAATTTCACAGCGGACCGCTGCTGCGAAGATGAAGACCCGTTGGCGGTCGCAACAGATGGCGGCTGCGAAGACGAGAACCTCGTGGCTCCCGCAGTGGAACGCTGCTGCGAGGCTGGGAAACCTATCGTTGGCTGCAAAACATTGGAGGCCTGGAAATGGGCACCAACACCAACACAGGGGGATGCCTCCACAGGGGGAAGATGCTCCCAGGTTTCGGTGTTGGTGGTAATATTTCGGTCACCTTGAAGCCAGAATATTACCACCGTCACCGAGATCGGGATCTTCTTCCCTCGGTGGAGGCACACCGCCGAGATTGGAGTTGGTGTCAACCTCTAGGCCTCCGAAAACACTGAGAAAGGAATACATAGAAGACGCTGGAGTGGAGGAAGCGAGGGGAATGGCACCTCGGCCCCAGGCGCGAGGGGCGGGAGCGCCAGACTTTCACAGGAAAGAGGGGGGGATCTCTCCGCTGCCTCTCAGGATCGGGCGCCCCAGCGTCCCACACTTCTGTGTAACGCTGGAGCGTCTGGGCACCGAGATCCTTCGCCGAACGCCTTGGCTCCTTGGCCGACCAGACGACGTGGCGTATTGAGCAAGGACCGACCGTCCCGACGTTTCCCTGGGCCTGTCACGATGTGCTCCTAGGACAAAAGGCGGCTCTGGTAACAAAAACAGCCTTCGTAGAACATGAAGGCGATGTTTTCAACGACGACGGCCTCAGCCAGAAATGTTCCAAGATTTCGCGCAGACCGCGAAAGGTCCTCAGAACAGTCCTCGGCGGGGCCTGGAAGGAGGCGAGCCAGGACGAACGCTTCGCAGCTGCTGGAGCGTGTGCACCGAGCCCATCCGAGGCAGGGGCGCGACGCGCGAGGCGATTGGGGGCGAGGGCCGCGAGGTGGGGCGCCGCGCCCGTGGGGGACACGTCCAGCTCCTGGTACTGGCCCGACTGCGCCATCGCCTCCGCCTTCTCCACCTGCAGGGGGCTCTGAGCAATCCGGGCAGGTCGCCGAACTGCTCGCGGGGAGGGAGGGAGGGGGGGATCCGCCGCCTGCGCTCCAGGGCAGCGCACAGGGTCAGGTCGGGCATGCCCCCCTACAGGCCGAACGTGGGTGCAACATTTAAGATAGCAAACCATAGTCCAAACTGGTCACGAAAGAAACGAAAGATCGTCACTGACTATTTCTATGCGATGTGTTTTGACATATTCCTTGATGTAGAGGGAAAGGCCCGACTTCCTGGGCTGGTGGGAGGCGCCAGGGCAGCTCCCAGGCAGCTCCAGAGCAGCGATTCTGAGGCTCATGGGCATCGCCAGCGGAGGGGGCGCCTTCTACGGCTCATGGCCATCTCCCGCCTTCTCTGCAGCAGGCCCCGAGGCCCGCCACCACTCGGACGCCCCTTCCCCGTACGCGCTTCGGCGTCGTGCGCTGACTGTTCGCAGGATGATCTGGGGTGCTCCTTGAGGGTCCTCGCCGAGAGAACGGGCACACGTCCGAGCGATACCAAGTGAGAGGGGAATGCTCGGGACGCCGCAGTCAGCACCTAGCATGTGGCGAGTCCCGCGCGTGGGGAAAGGCCCCAAAAAAGAGAGAGAGAGAGAGAGAGGACGACGACGACGACGACGACGACGACGACGACGACGATGATGTTCGGAGGGGAGGCTGGCTGAGGGGGGGAAACGTCGAGGTGGAGTCGGCGATGCACCACGGATAGAGCGGCGACATTGAGGACCCCGATGGCAAACAAGCACGCTGCTAGGCGGGGTGGGCCATCGGGCCCCTGTCGGCGATGAAGGGGCGATTGGGGGGGTCGATGGTTCCTCCCCTACGCCTTTCCACCCAGAACGTTGCCTCTGAACTTGGAGAAACAACCAAAACGTCGTGAGCAGAAAATTTAGGAGGTCCGCACGGAATTCTCTTGGGTCGGCACTGGCCCCCCCTCCGCGGCCTGTCGGACGAGAGGGCGGTGGACCGCAAAGGTGAGGGTTGGCCAATCGGCCCCCGCACCTGTGGGAAAACACACACAACAAAAAACGATCTGTCACACACACACACACGGACACACACACACACGGACACACACACACACACACACTCACATGAAATACACACGCTCGTTTCTGGAAACACACACACACACAAAACACACACACAAACATACATACATATAGGCGCACACGCACGCGCACACACACACACACACACACACACACACACACACGCGCGCACACACACACGTGGAACAAAAACACACACGTGGAACAACAACACATTGTTTGTAAACACACGGCCTGTGCTTTTTAACACACGTGTTTTTGTCCCCGCAGACGGTGTTGTTTCCACAGCTTGCCTGGGGCCTCCCGGCGCTGGAGGCGCCCACGTCTCGAGACAAGCGCCGGGCGGCCGAGCCGAAGCCAGCTGCGGGCAGCAGCTGCCCCAGACATCCGGCGATGACTTGCTCGTTCCCGCCACGGCCCCAGATGGATAGGGAGCCCACAAAGGACGTACGCGCCAAGCTATGTACATGAACACGGCCCCTCGATCCGCGAGACTGGCCGCGCGATACGAACATTTGCGCAATGCGTACTCTCGAAACCAGCGTGAATTCATGTACGTGTACGTCCTTCTTTCGCTCCTGAATGGAGGCCCCAAGAATAGACACCACCACCACCACGTCGATTCCTCCTCCCTCCTCTGCCCTCCCCTGCCTCTCTCTCTTTCCTGGTAGGGGGAGGGGGTGAGGGAGGTAGGGGTGGTGTACATCTTTTGGGGCCCCGTACAGAGATCTCGACCCCTCCCCTGGGGGTAGCTCGTCGCCCTGCAGTCCCAGACTCTGGAGCCACCCCCGGAAGCAGACAACCACCAACAAAAAGCCTCTGCCGTGACTTTCTCTTGGACGTCTGGGCTCGTAAGCCCCCCTTCCCGACGCCCCCCCCCCCCTCACGTCCGACCTGACGCTGGCGCTCGGAGCTTGCAATGTACATCCGCTTGCAATGTACATCCGCTGAAGCCTACTCCTGGGGCCTCCTCGGGGGCCTCAGAGAGCCCCCCCCCTCCTGGGATCTCCTGGGGCCTCCTCGGGGGCCTCCTCTGGGGCCGCCTCTGGGACCTCCTGGGGGGCCTCCTGGCAAGCCTCCTGGCAGGCCTGCTGGGGCCTGGGGGATCTCCTGGGGGGCCTCCTCCTGGGGGGGCCTCCTCCTGGGGGGGCCTCCTCCTGGGGGGCCTCCTCCTGGGGGGGCCTCCTCCTGGGGGGGCCTCCTCCTGGGGGCCCTCCCGGGGGACCCCCCCGGGGAGCCCCCCGCGGGCCCCTCGGCCAGGAGAGGCGAGCCCCCTCGCCGACCCGAGCGGCCCCGCCGCGCGGGGGCGCCCCTCCTGCGGAGGGCTCGCCGCCGCCGCGCCGCCCCCCCCAAAAAAGAAGACGTCCGGCGCTCCTCCTCCTCCTCCTCCTCCTCCTCCTCCTCCTCCTCCTCCTCCTCCTCCTCCTCCTCCTCCTCCTCCTCCTCCTCCTCCTCCTCCCCCGCTCCGCGCGCCTGTCGGCGGCGAGCCCGCCGGCTGTGGCCATCGCAGGCCCCCGGCTCGCCCGCCAGCGGCTCCGCTCGGAGGGCGCGGCGCAGGCTCGCCCGACGGTGCCACGGCCCGCCCGGTCGTGGCACGGTCCGCCGATGGTGGCACCGCTCGCCCGCGAGGGGCGCCGCTCGCCCGAGACGAGCAACCTCTGCGCGAATGTACCCCTCGGTCGTCGGAAGAGGCAGGTCGAGACATGGCGCAGGGAGGCGGTGAGAGCAGACTGGCTTCGGGCCCGCCCAGGGAGTCACAGCACGCAGCAGAAGCAGGTCGATTCCTGACGTGGGAGGGCGCCTGAAGTGGATTGGGCTCTGGGGACCCTGAGATGCCTGCGTTCAGCGACCGATGGGCAAATGCTCGAGGCCCCGCGCGGACTTCTCGCATGTGCGCTGGAGCCCCGGCGGCGCCGCTGGCGCCCTCCCTGGCGCGCTATCCGCGCGCCAGGTGAAGGGGGGCCCCGCGCAGGTCCAAGAAATCCGCGCGGACCGCCACAAGCTCACAGCCGGGGCGCACACGAGAGGACACGCGGCAGGACACGAGGCTCTTCCGACGGTAGCATGGCCTCCAACAAGGGTCTCCTCAGTGTCCGAACACGCAAAAGACACGAGAAGGGATGGGCAGGACACAAGAGTACCCGTATGTTTGCAGGGTCGACCTGCCAATGCGCCCCGACTGTGTGTGTGTGTCTGTTTATGTCTGCGCCGATATAACTATATATATATATATATATACATATGTGTGTGTAGATAGATATGTATGCATACATAGATTTATGTGTGTGCTCGACGCGTAAAGTGAGCCTTGTCTTTTTCGGCGTCGCGACACTGGGCGGGAGAGGGGGGAGCGGAGGGGGGAGGGTGTGGCACTGGACCTCTGCACAAGGCACTTGTGTACAGCAAGGTGTAACTCCGCCTGTCTGAGACGGACGCCCCGAACAGCCAAGCTCTGCTCCATTGGGGGGTGGACGGGGGTGCGAGGCCCCGCGCCCATCGGCAAGACAGCGAAGAAGAAAAAGAGCACAGACCTTCCAGGGGAGAAGGAGGAGGAGGAGGAGGAGAAGGAGAAGGAGAAGGAGAAGGAGGAGGAGGAGGTGGAGGAGGAGGAGGAGGAGGAGGAGGAGGAGGAGGAGATCTCCATCCCGAGCCCGAGGGGCAACGATTTTTGGAGGGAACTGGCACTGGGAGGGGGGGGGGGGGACGCGCGGGCCTGCCAGTGGCCAACGGGCCTCCGAGGGCGCACCCGCACGCGTCCCGAGCAGGCCGGGGCTGTCGGGCCCCCCATCGGCGATCAGTGGGCGAGGGGGGTCGATGCATCCTCCTCCTTCTCCTCCTCCTCCTCCTCCTCCTCCTCCCTCCTCCTCCCCCTCCTCCTCCTTCTCCCTCCTCCTCCTCCTCCCCCTCCTCCCTCCTCCCTCCTCCCCCTCCTCCCCCTCCTCCGCCTCCTCCTCCCTCTTCCTCCTCCCTCTAGTATCGGGCGTTGGCAGAACTGGGTTTGGTGGAACCTGGTTTAGTGGTTTGTACCGGGGGCGCGACGCGTAAAGTGAGCCTTGACTTTTTCGGCGTCTCGACACTGGGCGGGAGAGGGGGGAGCGGAGGGGGGAGGGTCTGGCACTGGACCTCTGCGCAAGGCGACTGTGTACAGCAAGGCGCAACTCCGCCTGCCTGAGACGGACGCCCCGAACAGCCAAGGGCCAAGCTCTGCTCCATTGGGGGGCGGACGCGGGTGCGAGGCCCCGCGCCGATCGGCAAGACAGCGAAGAAGAAAAGGAGCACAGACCTTCCTAGAAGAGATCTGCCCACCTTCCCTGAGGCCGGATCTTCCTCCCGAGTCTGAGGGGCAACGATTTTTGGGGGCAACTGAGTTTGAGGAGGAGGAGGAGGAGGAGGAGGAGGAGGAGGAGGAGGAGGAGGGGAGCAGCAGCGAGAAGGGGGACACTGGCACCTTCGGGGGGGGGACGCGCGGGCCTGCCAGTGGCCAACGGGCCTCCGAGGGCGCATCCGCACGTGCCCCGAGCAGGCCGGGGCTGTCGGGCCCCCATATCGGCGATCAGGGGGCGATGCGAGCAGAACGTCGAGAGCAACCAGCCCAGCTACGAGGACCACCTGTTGAGCTACGAGGGCCACGACCTGGGCTACGCAGGCCGCGAACAAAACTAAGAGAGCCTCCCGCAAAGCTACCATGACGACGAGCTGAACTGCAGGGGCCAAGAGCATACCCTCGGGGGTCGATGCATCACCCCCCTCTAGTATCGGGCGTTGGCAGAACTGGGTTTGGTGGAACCTGGTTCAGTGATATTAGTACCAGGGGCGCCCCCCCGCCCCATTGCCACTGACCGGAGCTGCCGGCACCCGAAAGACACCAGCTACGGCAAACCTGGTTTAGTGAATCTGGCCAATTGAGGGGCCCCAGGGCCCCACCACTAACCGGGTCCCCTTACCCGGGATCCTGGCTATACCCGATAGTAGAGATCAGAAGATCCACCCTCCGAATAATCACCTCGACACGCGAAGACGGAAGGAATCGAACAGGCCAGGGCTGTTTCATGCAATCGTGCACGCCCAGGGCCGTTCGGTCTTAGGTCGGGCATGTCCCCCTGCAGGCCGATCTTGGACAATAAAAAATCAGCACACCCCAAAAATATGCAAGGATACTCCAAGATAGTCAAAGCATCGTCCCCCGCCTATTCTCGGGCTATGTTTGAAGATTCCTCCTGTGGAGGGACATGCTCGACTTCCGTTTAGTGCACGCCAGTGTGTCCGGGTCCGGGTGCTCTGCCCTCCCTCAACCGGTGCCCCTCTCCCCTATCCCTGCCCCTGAGAGTGGCCTTTGACGGCCCCGGGGCCGGTGGAGGACCCCCAGAGCCCGAACATGGCTCACGACCGGCAGCTCCAAAATTGTGTCAGAGCCTGGGATCGATCTCTGGGACTTCTTCCCAGACATGATCGCGTCGTAAAAGAGATCAGGACGGGAGGCTTTGGATTGTTTTCGGCCCATGGGGGCCCTCGCTGGGCCTCGGGACCGCCAAAAAACGACGCAGGACGACAAACCGGGCCCGGGGAAAGGGTCGGAACTTCCATGGGGACGCCACCCCGAACAAAACCAGACGTCGCATGTCTGGGTTGGGCTCCCCAGCCACCGCCGCGGCGGCATCCACGCTGGCCTTCTTCTTGGGCTTGGTGGGCTTAGCGGACTGCCTCCAGAGGGCGCCAGGCGGGCGCGCGGCGGAGCTGGCGGCGGGGGGGGAGGGAGGAGAGCCCAGGATCGAATCGATAAGTCGGAACGGCAATCGAAATGAAATGAATCGGATCGGCGGAAATCGGCAGCCGAATCGGGAAAGGTCGAATCGGCGGAAATCGGCAGGCTGGTACGGCTCCAAAAAGGGGCATCGGCACCCAAAGCGGAAAATCCAAAGTCGAACCGAATCGGAATTGGAAGCTGTCGAGATCGAACCGAATCCTCCTCCCCCTCCTCCTCCTCCTCTTCCTCCTCCTCCTCCTCCTCCTCCTCCTCCTCCTCCTCCTCCTCCCCCGCCTCCCCCGCCTCCCCCGCCTCCCCCTCCTCCTCCTCCTCCTCCTCCTCCCCTCCTCCTCCTCCTCCTCTCCTCCTCCCCCTCCCCTCCTCCTCCTCCTCTCCTCCTCCTCCTCCTCCTCCTCCTTCTCCTAGCTCCTCCTCCTCCACCTCCTCCCTCCTCCTCCTCCTCCTCCTCCTCCCCTCCTCCTCCTCCTCCTCCTCCTCCTCCTCCACCTCCTCCCCCCCTCCTCCTCCTCTCCTCCTCCTCCTCCTCCTCCTCTCTCCTCCTCCTCCTCCTCCTCCTCCGCCTCCTCCGCCTCCTCCTCCTCCTCCTCCTCCTCCTCCGCCTCCTCCTCCTCCTCCTCCTCCTCCTCCTCCTCCTCCTCCTCCTCCTCCTCCTCCTCCTCCGTCGAGGGATCGAGAGGAGCCCGGGGGATGGGAGGCCTGGGATCGGCGGCGCGCCCAGGGGGGGAAGGGAGAGAGGGCAGGCCCCGTCCCTGAGGCCGCCGCAGCAGAAGCCCTCCCGGCCTCCTGGGGAGCCCACGGGTGGCCTCTGGAGGAGGAGGCGGAGGAGGAGGCAGAGGAGGAGGAGGAGGAGGAGGAGGAGGAGGAGGAGGGGGAGGAGGAGGAGGAGGAGGAGGAGGAGGGGGAGGCGGTGGAGGAGGAGGAGGAGGAGGAGGAGGAGGAGGAGGTGGAGGAGGGCAACTGGGAAGCCCAGAGGGCTTGGGAGGCTTCTCAGGAGGCCTCAGGCCTTGTGCGCCTCCGGGGAAGGCCCCAGGGAAGCGAGAGGTGGTCTGAAGTTTCTGGCCGTCGAGGGGGGGGGCCCATGGGGGCACCCTCGTCGCCTAGGGCCGCGTCTGCCCCAGGATCTGGGTTGGATCGCGCTCCAGCAGGGGCCTGTGGAGCGAGCTTGCTTGCGTTTGGCGTGAGAAGGAGGGAGAAAAGGCAGGAGGAGGCAACAGAAAGAGCAGGGTGCACAGGATACGGAATAAGGAAAGGGAAGCCAAGGAGGATGGTCCAGGATAGTGCATAGGAGCCGAGGAGGATGCGGAGAGGATGCGGAGCAGGATGCTGCGGAGAGTGCGGAGGGGAATGCGGAGAGGGGAGGAGTGAGGAGGAAGCGGACGTCAAGGCAGGTGAAGACAACGACGACGTAGAGCAACCGACGAGTGACGAGTGATGAAGGACTACGACGACGCCGACGACGACGACGCCGGCGCCAGCGGCGGCGGCGGCGGCCCCCGAGAAAGGGCCGCTGCCCCGAGAATAGGCCTCTTCGACGAGGTGCCCGCGACCCAGCCCATCGGGCTGGAGACAATGCTGGAGACCTGGGGGGGGGGCGCTCTTCGAAAGGAGAGACTTTCTCACTTAGAGGAACAATGAAAGTTGTTTCCATCGCGGATCTCAAACAATGGATATTGCACTCTCGATTGGCAATATGCGTGGCGCAAAATGCGCAGTGTAAGCTATAGGTTCAATCCACGTGGTGCAACACAGGCGTTGTGAGCTTCGTGATGCAGTCGACATCCTGCCATCGCTCGGACGTCCATTCCACGTGCATTGTTTCGGTTTCGTGCATGTTTTTGTTTTGCTCGATGGTCCAGGATGGCCCTCGGTGGCTCTCGCAGAGAAAGGATGCACACGTCCGAGCGATGCCAGGACACTGTCCAACATGTGGGGTGCAGGCCGTGTCTTGCGATGTTCGGTGGACGCCGTGCGGCGGGAGGGGGGGGGCACCACGTGCTGGCGGAGAACGGGTAAAAAGGGTGGGGGGGGCCGGAGGAGGAGGAGGAAAAGGAGGAGGAGAAGGAGAGGAAAGCAGGAGGAGGAGGAGGAGGATGAGGAGGAGGAGGAGGAGGAGGAGGAGGAGGAGGAGGAGGAGGAGGAGCAGGTGGAGGTGGAGGAGGGGGGGGGAGGCTGTGTGGTGCACGCCGTGCTGCGAGACCGGTGCGGCGCCCGCTCCGCGGTAGTAGGCGGCACCCAGCTGCCCGCGAGGCGCCCACGGTCGCCCGCCAGGCGGCGCCGCTGCACAGCCAGCCAGCCGCAGGTCGGGCCTGTCCCCCTGCAGGGGGATTTTGCCCCGAAAAATGAAAAATACTCAAGACATGCTCAAACCGTTTTTTAATGCATCTATCTATCTATAGATCATCTATCTATATATATATATATATATATCTATCTATATATATATATCTATATATATATAAACAAATGTCTTCATTTATATCTATATATAACAAAGACATGCTCAAACCGTGTGTTTAATGCATCTATATAGAGATCTATATATATGTGTGTGTCAATATCTATATATCTATATATATATATATATATATAAATATCTGTATATACATATACATATATATATATATGTATCGATATATCTATCTCTATATCTATATATATATATATATATATATCAATTCATCAATCTATATATATATATGTAATTGTCTATATATATATAACAAAAATTCGTCCCCTGACTATTTTTTTACTGTTTTTGAGCGTTCCTCCTGTAGAAGGACTGGCCCGACGTGAGGCCAGCGCACGGGGCGCCCACCAAGGCGCCCACGGCCGCCCACCGGGCGACGGAGGGAAGAGTCGGAACCCCTGGAGCAGGCACCGTGCAGGGAGCGCGAATGCGTGTGACCTGCCTAATTCGCCAGGGTGTCTCGGGCGAGGGCGCGAGTCCTGAGTACATTATAAGGGAGTCCCAGGCGAGAGCGCGATTCCTGAATGGCGAGGGCGTGCCGACTGAATACAGGGCAGTCTTTAGCACATAGGATTTTGAAAAGTATGGGCTCTTTAATAAATGAGTAATCTATGAATAGATTTATGCATGAACTCATCGTTGTTTTCAATACTGAATCCCTGCATTCTGAATGCATGATCCGCACGCGGAGCATGCATTACAAACGGCACTGCACACTTCTGGAGGTCCGCGCGGATTCCTCGAGCCGGCGCTGGGCCCCCCCTTGGCGGCGCCCGGAGAGGGAGGGGAGCAGGAGCATGAGAAGGAGAGAGGAGAAGGAGGAGAGAGAGCTCAGAGGGAGAGGGAGAGAGAGGGGGAGAAGGAGCGGGAGAATGAGAAGGAGAGAGGAGAGGGAGCAGAAGAATGAGAAGGAGAGAGAGAGCGGGAAGGAGAGAGAGAGAGAGAGGGAGCAGGAGAATGAGAAGGAGAGGGAGAGAGAGAGGGAGAGGGAGAAGGAGAGCGAGAGGGAGAGGGAGAGAGAGAGGGAGAGGGAGAATGAAGAGGAGAGAGGAGGAGAAGGAGAGAACTCCGAGGGAGAGAGAGAGCGAGAGAGAGGGAGAGAAAAAAGAGAGAGCGGGCGGCGAGAACCGTGCACGTGCACGAGCCCCGGCCGGGCCCCTCCCGGGCGGACGCCCACGGGGGAGGCAGAGACCTCGGGGGGATAATTATCGAGGACTGCTGCAGGAAGAAGTGCCCCGTGGACGAGGCCCCGAAGGGCCCCCCCAAAACTGCCGCCGCGGACCCCCGCGGGGCACTAAAAAGGTGCACGCTTCGTCGCCCGACCCTCCGTCGGGCCGAGGTTCGGGGGCAGACAAACCTGCCTCGCTTTTGGCCACCCTCGCTTCCGAGAGATACCAAGCGATGCCAGACTACGGCCCGTACTGGTCGGGCCGCTCGACGAGGAGGCGCGTGGTGTGACTTGGCTTTGCCTGGGAGCGAAAGCGGGGTAGGGAATTCACGCTCTGAGGGGTAGAAGATCGAGGTCGGTCTGGGGTGGGCACCCTGAGGTTCTTCGTGTTGGTTTGATGTGCTCGTGCCTCCTGGGGAGGGTGCCCGTGCTTTGGCCGGCGGGGGGTCTCACGTTCTTGGAGGATGCTCGTCTGGCCCATGCCCGACGATCTTGCCCCTCGGTGACGAACACTCGACCATCATGGTTCCTGGATCGGTGTGTATGATCAGGTCGGGCATGCCACCCTACAGGCGGATTTTGGACGACAAACAAAACATTGTCAACACAAATACTCAACAGTAGCCGGAACATCATCGAAGAATCGCCCCAGACTATGTTTTGACTGTTTTCGAAGATTCCTCGTGTAGAGGGACATGCCCGACTGAAGTGTAGGATCCCCCAGCCGCGCCTGGCCAGCGGCACCGATCCTGGACCATTCCCCTCCCAGGGGATGCACGGTTTCCCAGGCCATAGGCGACCCGAGGAGGAGGAGGAGGGAGGAGGAGGAGGAGGAGGAGGAAGAGAAGGGGGAAAGAGAGGAGAGGAGGAGAAGCAGGTGGAGGAGGGGAGGGGGATAAGGAGATGGAGGAGGAGGAGGAAGAGGAGGGAGGGGGAGGAGTGGGAGGGGGAGATGGAGGAGAAGGAGGGAGGAAGGGAGGAGGAGGAGGAAAGGAGGAGGGAGGGGAGGAGGAGGAGAGGAGGAGGAGGGAGGAAGGAGGAGGAGGAGGAGGGAGGGGGGAGGGGGGGGGGGAGGGAGGGAGGAAGGAGGGAGGGGGGGGGAGAGGGAGGAGGAGGGAGGGGGGAGGAAAGGAGGAGGAGGAGGGAGGGGAGGGAGGGAGGAGGAGGGGTCGCCTAAGCCCCTCGGAGACACCCTCCACCGGGGGAGACCCCCTCGTCAGCAGCCGCCCGGCCGGGCCTCCGGGGCTCGGCCAGGCGCCGCAAACCGCGTGCCGCGTGCCTGCCCCGGTTCCGCCGTCGGCGCTCTCTGAGGTGCCGGGGCTCGCGGGGTCCTTCGCAGGAGCGTCGGAGGAGGAGGAGGAGGAGGAGGAGGAGCTAGGAGGAGGAGGAGGAGGAGGAGGAGGAGGAGGGTCCCAAAAGGTGCCTTGCGGCGTGGGGATCTCGTTTGGAGTTCGTGGGAGTCGGTTCGCGTGCGTTTGCAGGATCTGGACGACATCTATCTGGGTCTGGTATGGCCCTTCCCAGGAGTTCGGGTGGCCCAAAAGGGGGTCCAGCTGAAAGGGGGTGGCGCAATAGATTTGGGGGCAATTGCATTGCAAATGTCTTGCGCCGGAGAATTGTATGGCATTGTATTGAACGAATTGCATTGCACGCGAAAATCCAACAATGTATCTGCGCCCCAGAATGTATTGCACGCCTCAAATGTATTGTAACCCCACAAATCGATTGCACCAAATCTATTGCACCACCCCCTTGTCGCTGGACCCCATGTTGGGTCAGCCCGAAGGAGTCTCAGAGGGTCCCAAAGACTCCTTGCGGCTTGGGGGTCTCGCCAAGATTTCGTCGGGCCAGATGTTTTCGTCGGACTTCGTTTCGTCTCGCCTCGCCTCCGAATTGGCTCAAATGTTTTTTTTACAACATCTGGACGACATCTGGGCGACATCGGGCCGAGATCCCGCTTCTGATAGGAAGAAGGGCCGCAGATGTCAAGAGAAACGCCCATTACGGCTGACCCCTCTCCCGACCAGACACCCATTTGAGGGCATGCAGGTTCTTCATGCCTGTCAGCCAATGGAGACTGGTCTTGTTTCTGAGAGAATCACAACTAGCGGCACGTGCATCAACTTTCGGAGGACTCCGCTGAGTTCTTGGATCGCGGGCTTTTTGTATTGGCGCTGGACCCTCCTCCCTAGCGCGCGGATCACACCCGGGGCGGCGCCGGAGCGCGCCGCGAAGGGGGCCCAGCGCCGATCCAGGGACACCGCGCGGACCTCCAGAAGCGTCGGTTTACGTTTACGTTCCTTACACAGCGCTTGCATCAAAGGCTCTCGCATCTCTTCTTGAGTGCTTGGAATTGGACGCCCGGAATGCGTACGGAAAGAATGGACACAATGCCCAACAAAACAAATGCTGCCCCAAACCAACAGCGGCCGCTGTTCGGCAGGCGGCCTTCTGTCTTGAATGGACACAAGCCGCGGCGGCGCGCACAGCGAGCCCTGTTCAAAACGAACAGGATCCGCTGTTGGGCATTGTACCCATTCTAGGGGGCAAACAAACCTACCTCGCTTTTGACCACCCTCGCTTCCGAGAGATACCAAGCGATGCCAAAGTACGGCCTGTACTGGTCAGGCCGCTTGACGAGGCGCGTGGTATGACTTGGTTTTGCCTGGAAGCGAAAGCGGGGTAGGTAATTCACGCTCTGACATTCTTTCTGTGCCCATTTCGTCCGTGCAGTACTTGGGCGGGGGTGCTGCCGGATGTTCGTCCGATGGCCGGCCGTGGGCGCCACGCGGGCGCTCCCACGCGAGGGGCTGGATGTGCAGAGGGTTCGCCCGGTGTTTGTGTGTGTGTGTGTCTGTGTGTCTGTGTGTCTGTGTGTCTGTGTGTCTGTGTGTCTGCGTGTCTGTGTGTCGGTGTGTGTGTGTGTGTCGGTATGTCGGTGTGTCGGTGTGTGTATATGTGTGTCTGTGTGTCTGTGTGTCTGTGTGCCTCTGTCTCTGTGTCTGTCTCTGTGCGTCTGTGCGACTGTGCGTCTGTGCGTCTGTGCGTCTGTGCGTCTGTGCGTCTGTGCGTCTGTGCGTCTGTGCGTGTCTGTGCGTCTGTGCGTGTCTGTGCGTCTGTGCGTCTGTGCGTCTGTGCGTCTGTGCGTGTCTGTGCGTGTCTGTGCGTCTGTGCGTCTGTGCGTCTGTGCGTCCGTGCGTGTCTGTGCGTTTGTGCGTCTGTGCGTCTGTGCGTGTCTGTGCGTGTCTGTGCGTGTGTGTGCGTCTGTGCGTGTGTGTGCGTGTCTGTGCGTGTGTGTGCGTGTGTGTGCGTGTGCGTGTGTGTGCGTGTGTGTGCGTGAATGTGCGTGTGTGTGCGTGTGTGTGCGTGTGTGTGCGTGTGTGTGCGTGTGTGTGCGGTGTGTGTGTGCGTGTGTTTGCGTGGTCGTGTGCTTGTGTGTTTGCGTGTGGTGTGCGTGTGTGTGGCGCGTTTTGTGTGCCGTGGGTGGTGGCGCGTGTGTGTGCGCGTGTGTGTGCGCGTGTGTGTCCGTGTGTCGCGCGAGTGTGTGTTCGCGTGGTGCGCGTGTGTGGTGCGCGTGTGTGTGTCGCGTGTGTGTGTGCGCGCGTGTATGTGCGCGTGTGTTGTTGTGTGTGGTGCGCGTGTGTGCGCGTGTGTGTGTGTGTGTGTGTGTGTGTGTGTGTGCGTGCGAGCGGTGTGTGTGTGTGTGGGCCGCGCGGGTGTGATGTGTGTAGGTGCGTGTGTGCGTTGTGTGACGCGTGTGTGTGTGTGCGCGTGTGTGCGCGTGTTGTGCGCGTGTGTGTGGTGTGTGTGCGTGTGTGTGTGTGTTCGGTGTGTGTGGGTGGTTGTGCGGGTGGTGTGCGTGTGTGCGTGCGCGTGTGCGTGGGCGTGAGCGTGGGGCGTGCGCGTGTGCGTTTGTGTGCGTGGCGTTGCGTGTGCGTGTGCGTGTGCGGTGTGTGCGTGTGCGTGTGCGTGTGCGTTGCGTGTGCGTGTGCGTGTGCGGTGGCGGGTCCGTGTGCGTGTGCGTGTGCGTGTGTGTGTGCGTGTGCGTGTGCGCGTGCGTGGGGTGTGGGTGTGGGTGTGGGTGTGGGGTGTGGGTGTGGGTGTGGGTGTGCGTGCGTGCGTGCGTGCGTCGTGGGTGTGTGTGCGTGTGTGCGTGTGGTGTGGTGGTGTGCGTGTGTGCGGGTGTTGCGTGCGTGGTGTGCGTGCGGCGTGACGTGCGTGCGTGCGCGTGTGTGTATGTGGTGTGTGTGGTATGTGTGTGGGTGCTGCGTGCGTGCGTGTGTGTTAGTGTGCGCGTGTGTGTGCGATGGCCCGTGCCCGTGTGTGTGCGTGTGCGCGCGTGTGCGTGCGTGTGCGTGCGTGTGCGTGCGTGCGTGCATGCGTGCGTGCGTGCGTGCGTGCGGGCGGGCGGGCGGGCGGGCGGGCGTGCGTGCGTGCCTGTTGTGTGTTGTGTGTTGTGCGTTGCGTGTCGTGTGTGTTGTGTTTTGTGTTGTGGTGTGTATTCTGTGGTGTGTGGTGTGTGCTGTGTGTTGTGTGTGCTGTGTGTGTTGTGTGTCGTGTGTTGTGCGTGGTGTGGTGTGGTGTGGTGCGCGGTATGTGGGTGTAGATGTGGGTGTGGATGCGGGTGTGTGTGGGTGCGTGCTGGAGGGAGGGTCCGTGAGTGGGTGTGCGTGGGTGTGTGGGTGTGCGTGCTTGTGGGTGCGTGTGGTGGGGGGGGGCAGGGGAGGTATGTGTGTGTGTGTGCGTGTGTGTGCGTATGTGCGTACGTGTGCGTGTGTGTGCGTGTGCGTGCGTGTGCGTGCGTGTGCGTGCGTGTGCGTGCGTTGTGCGTGCGTGCGCGCGTGTACGTGCGTTGTGCGGCTGTGGCGTGCTTGTGCGTGCGTGTGCGTGCGTGTGCGTGTGCGTGCGTGTGCGAGCTGTGCGTGCGTGTGCGTGCGTGCGTGTGCGTGTGCGCGCGTGTGCGTGCGGTGCGTGCGTGGGCGT